CTGTCGTGGTTTTTTTTTTGGTTTTTTTTTGTTTTCTTTTGTTTTCTTTTGCGGGGCGGGGGGAGGCGAAAATAATGGCTTCCAGGACGCACACTTCCATGTCGCTGTACTGTACTTTGATGACAGATCGATCACACGGCTGCGGGCGATGATTGTACAATCGTGTACAGCGAAAAGTAACGCTCACCAGCTGCTGGGTTTCAAAGAACCAGACTAGTGAGGAAAGTGCGGTAGGGAGAGTAGCACGAACGGAAGTATTGCCCTTGCGTAGACTGTGCGGGCTTTGAATTTCCCGAACTCGTCCGAGGAGAGCGGCGGGCGGCATGAGCGCGAAAAGCGGCGGTCGAATGTGGGAGGACAAGGCAGTCGCCACCTCCCACATTCTTGCCTTGATGGGCCCCACTGTAACTCGCCGGTCAATTGCGCCGCTCGGCGCCGAGACTTCCGGCAGGGCAATGCTGCCAGCCGGCATGAAGCCACCCTCGGCTCGAGTGGTTGAGCCGAATCCACCTACGCCTCGTGTTTGCTTGGCCCTCCCCCACTCCCTGCCTTTTTGGCGATCCAATCACTCGGTCAACCAACTGTGCCCTTGCCAGTGTGCATGCTATGGCGCTCAAGGTGCATGTAGTTCGGACCGCTCAGCCGTTCCCAACAGCATGGCAGACAACGCAACGGAGCGCGGTCCGGGCCTCCGAGCATCAGCCCCCTGATCCTTTCCGCACTTTTGCGAGATCAACAACTTCGGGAGTGAGATCTGCGTTTTTTTCCTGCATTTGGCCAGGCAGCGTCCGCTGTCCGTCGTTGGACCCTGAGCAACTTGAACCCCCGCCAACAATTCTTCTGGCCCGCGTGCGCTCGCACTGGCCAGCAGCCCCAAGGTGGGACACGTTCGAGTTCGCTTACACCTAAGGCGCCCCAGCATCGACCTTTCAGGCGGGCGGGCGTAGACACAGCCATCACACTGGGGACGGTACTCATGTGCAATTCCAGCTCATTCCATCCAGTGTGTCTTCATTCGGGCTTTTGTTCGGCGACATTTTGTTCGACGCCTGCTTAGACAGTACTGAGCGGGCGTGGGGTTTGGGGAGCGATCCCCCGTGCCCTTGTCGAGTCTCTGCGTCGGCGCAAAGTGCACACCCTTCTTAAGGCTCTCTCACCGCTCGTGTTGTATCCGTCTCATCGTATCACCCTTTCTCATTCCCTCCTCTCCGGCTTGTTACCGACAGTCGCATATCTTCAATCATGCTCGTCGAGCGACCCTTGACAAACCTCGCACCTGCGGCCAAGCAGCCTGCTGATGCCTTTGTGCTTACCAACGAAAAGGGCTTCGAATGGTCGCTGCGTCTGCTCACGCCCCCAGTCCTCAAGATCAACGTCACGGGGCCGAACCACCCTCTGCCGCAACAGAGCAATGTGCTCTGGTCGCAAAAGCCACTTGCCGTCCAGTCCAACATCGATGCCGCCGCCAAGAAGGCCACCATCAGCGTCGAGGGCCTCACACGCGATCTGACGGTGCAGTGGGATGATACGCCCATCGTCGAGGTTCACGAGAGCGTCGAGGGCAGCTCGGAAAAGGTGCGTGTGTTTGGAGACACGCCGCACAAGTCGTACTGCTTCTCGGACAAGGGCTTCACGCGCTACACGCGCTTCAACAACCACAACCTGCACGTGGGTATGGGCGAGAAGGCGGCACCGCTCGACCTCACCCACCGATCGTTCTCGATCACGGGAAGCGACGCAGCGAGCTACGATGCGTACCTCTCGGACCCGCTGTACAAGCACACGCCATTCCTCATGTCGTTACCCAAGCCCGTCGACGTCGACGGTAACGCTCAGCCGATGACCTCGGTGGTAGGCATCTACTCGGCCTCCAACTCGGACGCCAACTGGGACGTGGGCCGCTTCATCGACGAGCCGTGGACCATGTTCAAGAAATACGCGCAGCACTGGGGCGGCCTGGAGGAGTACATCCTCTTTGGCCAGCATGCGCAGGAGGTTGTCTCGCAGTTCTCTGATCTGGTCGGACGCCCTCTGCTCGTGCCCAGGGACTGGTTGGGCTACCTCGCCAGTGGTATGGGTCTCGGCGAGAGCGATGTGCCCATCGCCCAGGAGCTGCTTTCGGGCTGGCCGGGCATGTGCAAGCAGAACGACATTCCCTGCTCTGCCATTCACCTTTCGTCTGGCTACACGGTGGACGACGAGGGCAACCGCCTCGTGTTCACCATGAACAAGAAGAGGTATCCGGACTTTGCCGAGATGGTCAAGACATTCCACAAGGCGGGTATCCGCGTGACGCCCAACATCAAGCCTTACGTGCTGCAGGCGCATCCGGACTACCAGAAGCTGTACGAAGCCGGTGCGCTCTTCACCGACCCCAACAGCGGCAACGAACCAGTGGTGACACGCATCTGGTCGAGCCTACCCGGTTTCAACGCACTCGGCTCGTGGGTCGACCTCACTAGCAAGGCCGGCCGTGACTGGTGGCGCCGTGGTGTGCTCGAGCTGTGTGAGCTCGGTGTGGACTCGGTGTGGAACGACAACAACGAATTCCTGCTGTTCGACGATGCCTTTGAGTGCAAGAACGAGCTGGTGGGCGATGCCAAGACCGACGGAAACCGCACGGGCAAGCCCACACCCATCGGTCTGCTTGGCCGCATGACCAACACCGAGCTGATGGCGAGGGAGTCGCACGATGCTCTCGTCTCTCACCACCCCGACCGCAGGCCTTTCGTCTTGACGCGCTCTGCCAACGTCGGTACGCAGAAGTGGGCGGCCTCGACGTGGTCTGGAGACAACCGCACCAGCTGGCACAACCTGCGTGGCTCGATCGCCATGAACCTGAACGCGCAGATGTCGCTCCTGCAGTCGTACGGTAACGACATTGGTGGCTTCGCCGGCCCGCTGCCCAGCCCCGAGCTGTTCGTGCGTTGGATCCAGTCCGGCATCACGCAGCCGCGCTTTTGCATCCACTCGTTCAAGCCGTGCAAGGAGGACCCGCTGGGAGTCAAGCTCAACAACCTGCCTTGGATGTATCCCGAGGTGGTCGACATTATCCGCGCCACCATCAAGCGCAGGTACGAGCTGCTTCCGTTCATCAACAACCTCAACTGGCGCTCGCACGTTGCTGCCGAGCCCATGAACACGTGGCTCGGATGGGGCGAGTTCGCCTCGGACCCGGAGGTGTACAAGAAGGAGGTGCTCGAGGGCTTCGACTACTGGATCGGTCACGGGCAGCTGCTGAGCGCCGGTGCCTACCACGAGGGCGAGCACTCGCGCCGCGTCTACCTGCCAGCTGCAGGCAAGGACGACACCAAGGTGTACTACGACACCAACGCACCCTTCCACATCCACTCCGCCGGCAAGTGGGTCGAGAACGTCTCGACGCCGCTGTCGCACTTTGCGCTGTTTGCGCGCGAGGGTACGGCGGTGCCCGTCGGTCTGCCCAAGGTCACGCTCACCCAGGCTGACGGCATCGCCACACTCACCGGCAGCGGCACCAAGATCCTCACCGAGCAGGAGGGCGGCCAGGTGGTGCACGACGAGTGGCGTGGTGTGGAGCTCTTCCCCTCGCCTGCGGATACGGATAAGGCGGGCACGTACGAGTACACCTGGATTGAGGACGACGGTGTTTCTGCCAAGCCGGCCGTCGCCGAGATCAAGCTCGAATTCTCGTCGTCCAAGGACGAGGTGACCGTCAAGGCGACCGCGCACAAGAACGACTTCAAGCCGCTCTGGGGCAACACGCTCTGGATCATCCTCCCGCGCCCCGACACCAGGAGGGTGCAGGGCGCCACCAAGACCATGCCGTACAAGGGTCAGACCGCCTACGCTATTACCGTCGCGGGCCTCTGAGCGTCCACTGCCGTCCAGGTCTTTTGTGTCTGCTTCATACTCTAGATTTTAATGCAGTGTTCCTGTTCCGAATGTCGAGATCGGGCTGCGACCCGTCTAATCATCTGCGATTCTGTGAAGACTGAGTACGTGCGCATGGGATTCTCCTCCTCACAGTTCGCCATGCTGGGCATGCGGGCGGAAGACGTCGTCCCAGCTAGTGTTGTCCGGCTGTGCGCCGTTTCTGTGCATCTTTGCGGCGACGTTCTCGGCTGCTTCGAGCACGCGCAGTACGTTGTCGCCCACAAACCCGGCCAGCTCGCGGTCCGACCATCCGCGCTCGACCAGTGCCGCCACGAGATCCGGATACTTCGTCACGTCTTCGAGCCCCTTGGGCGTGCTCAGGATGCCGTCAAAGTCGGTGCCGACTCCCACGTGGTCGCGGCCGACGATGCTGCTGACGTGGTCGACGTGTCTGATGACCTGGTCCAGGTCGCCCTCGCCGCCGATAAAGCCGGGGTAAATGTTGATCATGACCACATGGTCCTTGCCCGAGTCCGCGAGCTTGTGCAGCACCGAGTCGGGCACGTTGCGCTCGAGGTCGTTGAGCGCCCTCGCTGCCGAGTGCGAGAGCATGAGCGGGCCTCTGGTGACGTCGATAGTCTGCAGCGCCGTCTGATCCGACACGTGCGAGAGGTCCGGCACGATCGCCAGCCTGTTGAGCTCGTAGATGAGATGCTTGGCATACGGACTCAGACCGTTCCATCTCGGTGGGTGCTGGCCCGCGCTGTCCGCAAATGCATTGTGGCAAGTGTGCGTTAGCGTCAGGTATCGCACTGGACCTGGCGCTCTGCTGCTGAACAGGGCAGCAAAGGCACGCAGCGCGTACAGCGAGTTGCCGAGCGAGTGCGCTCCTTCGATGCCAATGAAGCTGATCATCTTGCCGGCCTTGAATGCCTTCCTCGCGGAGCGTGCATCGCCTACGAGCGCAAAGTCGTGATGGTACCGGTCGGTCATTTGCTTGATCACGTCGAGCTGCTCGAGCGTGTCGCGCACGCCGATCTGATTGCCAGCGTGCTCAAAGTCATCGCCGACCGTGGCGGCGTCAGGACACTCGACGTAGGCGGACCAGAAAAAGCCGCCACTCTTACCAGCGCGCAGACGCGGAATGTCGACATGGCCCGAAGTCGGAAAGCTGCCGTTCGGGAACGCGGGTTGGCCAAAGGGGATCTCGGCGACCTTGTTGCCGTAGCGATAGCGTGCGATGACCGGAACATCGACATGCCCGTCGACGAGCGGATGCGATTGAAGCAGGTGCTCGGCGTGCTTTAGCGGGTTTTTGCAGCGTCTGCTCAAGTCGCTCGATGTGCATCGCGAGTCGATGCTCGGCTGGCGGATGCAGCCAACTGCGCGGTCGAGCGTTGCGGGATGGAGCCAGGCGAGGGTGAGGAGTGCAACGGCGAGCGTGCAGACAAGGGCCTTGCAGCGGCCCTTGAGGGAGCCGCGGGCCGCAGACGGGCCCTGTGAGCTCAGAGGAAGCAATCCGTCTCTGGCCTTGTCGTCGAGCTGCATTTGCGATGCGGTAAGAGGGAAATGGTGTGGAGGAGGGGTGACCTGAACGACTCAGCCCGCAAGATGCAGACACACGCGAGTCGATGCCGAAGCGCGCGGCAATCCACTTGCGGAAGCGGATCGGAATTTCTGTGATTGCCGGCTCGGCCCAGCAACGCCAGCTTCGCGAAGCTGCTCTCACAATATCGCTCGTGCTTCAGCACGGCGAGGGCGTCGGTTCAACGGTCAGTCAACTGATCGAGCGGGTACAGAAATCGACGTTCCAATGCGCGTCTATGTTACAGTCTTGGTTTTTGCAGCTGGCGAGTGAGCTTCTTTTCCTTGAGTGTGCTTGGGTCCTTTTGCGCCTCAAATATCTGGGCTAGCGCACCGGCGAGCGCATCTGGCTCTTCTTGTGCGACGAGATGGTTGCCCTCGATGGTCACGCTGAAGCCGCGATCCAGCTTGTCGATCTCTGCCGCAAGCTGGAAGTTGTTGAAGCCGCCTTCCATATTGACCATGCCCACCCATGCGCCGTGGTTGGTACGTAGCATGCCGTTCCTGCCGATGTATCCCATCCACGTCGAGGAGAATGCGGCAGCCTCGTGCCACTTTGTGTTGTTGAGCTCGAGCCCGGTGCGCTTGAGGTCATTCTCGTGCAGGTCGTCCGCCACCAGAGCGCGGGATGCAGGTACCGCTGAGGGGCGCAGACCGAAGCGGAGGTGCAGATCGAGCACACGCGGATCCCAAACTTTGAAGAACGGCTTGGACTCAAAGTATGCTTTGGCGTCAGGCAGCGAGTCGAAGGTGTCCTTGCGTGCGATGGCACCGCGAGCAAGCGGAAAGTCGGCGATCGGCGGGATGATACCCTCGAAAAGGTTGTCGATCTTGAAGGCCTTTTCATCATCGAGATGCATGATAGCCGGGTCGACGAGCATGAGTCCTTCGAGCATACGTGGTCTCGCATGGAGTACAAACGAGAGCGATGCACCTCCGAAGGAATGTCCCATGCCGACCAGACGACGCTTGGCGTTGGGCGAGGAGGCCTTGTGCGACGGTAGGAAGGTAGGCAGCCATGCTGGTTCGGCAGAAGGGTGAGACGGAGTGTCGGGAAGGTAGTGTTCGAGGAATTTGATCATGTCGCGCGGATGGTCTGCCCAGCTGATGGTGTCGCCGAGGAGGTCGCGGTTGATGCTACCAGCTTGGCCGGAATGTGTGCAGTCAAAGTTCCAGATCTCGTCGATGCGATACTTGCCGCGGAGCTCGTCGGTCTGCAGCTTCTTGACAAGCGACTCGAATGCGGGTTCAAAGATCTCCTTGTGGAAGCCGTTGGCATGCGCAACGACCAAGGTGATTCCTTGGCGAGTATCTTTGGCATGGGCGCCTTTGTGGACGTCGTCTTCGAGATGCGCGGGTACGATGCGGTTGACAGCCATCCAGAGCTGAGCCTCGTTGGCCGTCCTTGCCTCGGTTATCCTCTGGATATGTCCCGACTTCAAGCATCCTTTGCGCAGCGTGCGCATGACATTGCGCTGACCCCCGTGGTCCTTTCCGCCACATACATCGAGCCAGTGTGCAAAGTCGGCCTCCCGGCGTCGGCGCTGTTCCGCTTTGGCCGCTTCTGGATCCGATGGGAGGGGCCCCAGGCTCGAGGAGGATGGCACGCCAGTGTTGTAGATGTCGGATTTGGCCGAACGCGGATGCGAGCGAGGCCATGCGGCTGGATAGACGTGGGTGGTGGAGATCCACTGCTGCGACTTGTTGGAGCCGAGGTCTTGGGAAAGGGTTGTGAAGGCGATGCGCGGCGCCAAGGTTGGGATGATGGGTCGCACGGGTGCACGTGGCGGCTCGAGAGATGGCAAGAGATCTGCTGGGCGCAAGTCCTCGGATGACATGGTGAAGTGTAGGGACTGTATGCAGAAAACACTTGTGCTGGGAAAGCGATAATCAGGTGGGATGATTGCCGGCAGGCGGCTAACTTCGCTGCAGAGAGGACGACAGCCAAAACGAATCCCCTAGTCTTATGTATGTAGAGGCTAGGCTGAAGAGAGGTAAAAGTGCGAAGGGAGGCGTAGAGCAACAGTGAGGATGAGGGAGCGCAAAGGCATACACCCTGGCAGGCATCCGGCAATGGCAGGCCGGGACTTCCGGCAGAAAAAGTGTGGGGCCCAGTGCGGGTACATTTCGGACGAAAAGACCGAGAACCTGCTGACTTTGCCGTGCGGAGACGGTTGACGGCCGCGCGAATTTGTTGAGTGTTTGAAGGCATCAACCGCACACTTTGATACTCTGGCTCGGCGTAGTGTTTCAACCCGCCGACGCTGAGCCGCGGTGGAAGCGCCTCCCGCTCGAGCGTCAGGAGCCGCTGATTGTTCTTCTGGCGGTTCCTCGCTCCACAATTTTAAGGTTGAGGAGCCCTCTCACGCTATCACTTCCGCTGCCGCACCTCACATCATCCGCATCGCTCTCAACCCCGGCAAGCGTGCAGCCACGACAGGCTCCGTCCGTACTTGGTCGCATCGTCGTGTTCAATCTCGGCCACTCTATCCACATCGTCATCTCCCTAGGACGACTCGCGTCACCGTCGCCTCGAACCTCGACCCATCTCTAAGGCATTCGCATCGGTCATCACGCTACCGGACCCGCAAGCACCATGAATGACAGTCTAGGTGCGCTGATTGCGATCGTGGTCCTCTGGTCGATCCTCCGCTTCGCCTTTGGCGGCGGCAACAACAACACCGGCTCTGGGAACGCCGCTCCGGCATTGAACACGGCTCGCTCGCGCCAGGTCCCTCAGCACATGGTCGACTCGGTCAAGACCTTGTTCCCGCACATCTCGGACGCCTCGATCCGCTACGATCTCCAACGCTCTGGAAGTGTCGAAGCCACTTGCGAACGTATCCTCAACGAAGGAGGTCTCCCTTCTCCGCCCGCTGGCTTCTTCGGCACGGCCGAACCATCGACGCCGTCGAATGCCGCTGCGCTGCGCGCGCAGAACGCGAATCGCTCGCCGAACGGAGCTGCATCAGCATCGGCGTCTTCCGTCAGCACACCGAGCAAGTCGCCCAATCTCATCTCTCGCTACGGCCTGCAGTCTCGTATTGGACAGGAGGATGTACTGTCGACGCCCGACTCGCGCGCAAGCACCAGCAGCCAGGGCAGTCCGAGCGCATGGGCCACCACGCCCGAGGCAAGGGCAAAGCTGCTCCAGGATCGCAAGGCGCAGATGATCCTCGAAGCAAGGAGAAAGCTCATGGAAAGGCAGCAGAGTGCGGCGAAAGAAGCAGCGGAAAAGGCCTCGACCGATTCCGCAGCCGCAGCCGCAACCTCGTGAGACGTCCCGCATGCTCTCGCTGGCGCAGGATTGACGGTTCGTGAGGTTTCCGGCGCAGATGTGTCTCCACCACGTAATGGCAGATGATCTGCGATCCCATCATGTGCGTGCTGCGTTGGGTCAGACGCTCGTGCCTGAGGTTGGCTTGACTCAGACGGTGAGACTCGTGTGATCCGAGTACAGCGTGCAGGCAGCGGGAAGCTAGTCAAATCTCAGCCGCGCCGCGAAATCGAAGGCTATTGCCGGTCTAACACTTTGAAATTCGGATACTAAGTCACGTGCAGTGTTAGCGAGCTTGAGAAGGTCTGGCACCGATTTTTTGCCTGTAATGGCCTGCGTCGAGAACCTCCGACGACTACGTCTCGACTCTCCACCACCCATCGTCCTACCTGCACCTACATCGCTTCGACTATTCATACACAATGCGACCCACGACATTGAGCGTCCGGGCCGTGTGCCCGCGCATGCGACTCGCATCGAACTCCCGCACCTTTGCATCTTCTTCCGCCTCCTCGTCTGCCTCTCCCAGCACTCCGTCCGAAACGCCTTCGCTCCCATCAGCAGCTCCACCCGGAACCGTGCTGAAGGGCGTCTCCATCTACAAGGACAAGGCGGATCCCGTCGCGCTGCAGGACAACGAATACCCGGCATGGCTGTTCAAGCTGCTCGACGACCCGTCGATCGCATCATCTTCGTCGCTCGCATCGATCGAGATGGCAGGCATGTCTAAGGGTGAGGCGCGTGCGGCACAGAAGCGTCAATCCAAGATCCTGCGTGCTGCCCAGCTGGCCAAGGAAAAGGCAGAGGCAAAGGCAGCCGAACGTGCCGCTAAAGCAGGTACGACCGACGATGCACAGGAGGCAGTGGCGCAGCAAGAGGAGCTGTCGCCAAAAGACCTTCGCGAAAGACTGCTGTCCAAGGCGGTCCTTGAGGAGACGCTCAAGAGGAAACAGCTCAGAAGGACCAACAAGGAAGCCATCAAGGCTCGCAACTTTGTCAGCGCTTCGTAGAACACCCGCCACCTCCATTCGGACACTCGAGGCAATGCGAATCTTTTGTACAGTATTCAGCGCGAAAAAGCGTACAGGTACGACCTGAGTGTGGGCTAGAAGCCAGGCCAGTGCTGGTTGGCGAACTCCTGCATGTCTTCCACCAGCGCGTCCGGTGCGTCGCTGTCGAGGTCAGAGAAAAGAGCAGGAGGAAAATCACGGTCAGACTTGGATACTTGTCTTGTTCTTGATGAGGAATCAGGCTAGGTTGAGGAAGAGACTTACAGTGCAGCAAAGTGACCGCCGTAGTCGCGGCGCTTGAAGAACTGCCAGTTGAGGCGGTACTTCTTGAGCCAGCTGCGTGGTCCCGCGAGCGCCTCGTAAGGGAAAGCGGTGAATCCAAACGGCTTGTGCTTGGCAGGCTCCCACAGCTTCCAGTCTGGCTTGTTGAACATCTGCAGCGACTCCTTGTACGGCAGGAAGGAGGTGTGAATCGAGTTGGTCAGGTAGTAGATCATGACCGTGACGAGCATTTCGTGGTCGGTGATGTACGAGTGCGGCGAAGCGGTGTCGGTCGACTCGTTGAATGCCGGGCACCTGGGGTCGGACCAGGCATGGTACTTTTCCATAATCCATGCGAGGATGCCGACCGGGTTGTCGTAGAAGCCATACCCGATCGTGGACGGCTGGGTACCCTGGATCTTGACGTAGCCATTGCCTTGTTCGAGATATTTGAGCGAGCGCTCGATACCGAGCAGCTCGTCTGGGTGGTAGCCGAGCAATTTGAGCGATCCGGCGGCGAAACCCGGGTAGACAGCCTGGTCGATGGCAAGCGCGGGGATGGTCCAGAACGGCAGCTGTGGGGGCGCAAAGTTGATGTGCGCGATCTTGCAGTTGGGACTGTTGGCGAGGAAGCGCGTGACGATCGAGCCCCAGTCGCCGCCCTGCGCCATGTACGATTTGAAGCCGAGCACCGAGGTCATGAGAGTATCAAAGACGCGTGCCGAGTCCTGCAGCGTCCATCCTTTCTTGAGCGGGCCCTGGGAGAGGCCAAAACCGGGCAGGCTGGGCACGATGACCTCGAAGCGCGGCGAGCGCGACTCGACGAGCTTCGAGGCAAAGTGGAAGGCCTCGGTGAAACAACCGGGCCAGCCGTGCGAGAAGATGAGCGGAATCGCAGGCGTGTCTGCGTCTTGATCGGAGCTGGCAGATTTGAAGTGCTGATAGTGGATCTCGAGGCCTTCAATCTGCACCTTGTAGTGTGGAAAGCGGTTGAGCTCGGCCTCGACATTGCGCCACCACGCTTTGACGCCTTGGTCGGGAGAGCCGACGGGCTGGCGATTGTTGTCTTTCGGATTGCCGCGCTTCCAGTCGGCGAGCACTTGACGGAGCTTGGAGAGCTCTGTGCCATATTCCCACGGCTCGAGGCCGCCCGTGATGTCGGAGTCGGGCAGCTTGGCATCGTCGAGCTTGTGCTGAAGCCGGTCGAGCTCAGCCTCAGGGAACTCGATGCGGATCTGACGAGGCTTGCCCACTTCGGCCATGGTGTTTAATTTTGGAAGGTGGTCGGCGAGTCCGAACAAAGAGGGTGGTGGTGTGGGTGAGGAAGGGACGGAAGGGCAACCGATAGACAGAGAAGGATGTGGTCGGAGGCTCAGCGTGCACGGACGGGTGGGTGAGCCTTTATGTCCAATTGGCTCTAGCTCACCTCCACTCCATCACCTGCTGCAGCTGCGCAAAGAAGAATCTGCTCAGCCGACTGCCTATTCCGCTCCGTGGAGAGCAGCGGCAGCGGCAGCACCAGTGTCCGCGGCTCAGGCCGCCAAGCCGAGCCGCTTTCCCCGCAAGATCTTGCGCAGCTGGAAGTCTTCGGTGATTTTTGCTGCGCAGAATTTCCCGAAATGAAGCCTGCAGATCGGGATCGACGCTGTTGCAAGAAGATCCTTCCCGATGGGTCGGGATCGTCAGTCGCCGGTCAGTCGCTATAACTCTTTGCCGATGCAGGTCGCTTCGGCTGTGAGGGTCAACGGCAACAACAGATGGCACGTTCCGTGCGGATCAGCACGGTGAGCCGCATTGCCGAATCGAACGGCTGAGGTCTCCCACGATCTGCGCAACGTGCGGCGCAGAACGCGGCAAAAATGAACGAAAGTGGACCCTGAAACGTGCGCAAGTCCGCACATCGGCACGCTTCGACAGCGGGAGTTCGCATCTCTGCTGCTCGCTTCCCTCTACGTACTGCACGGCTGGCCGATTCCGGCATGCCTCCGAAGCTGCTTCAGGGAGCTCCGCCACCGCATGGTCTTGAAGAAGCGATCCTTTTCGGAAAGTACACTCGAAGGTCGAGAGAGAAGCGAGCTTCGTTTGTGCTTTGCCGTGGACTGGGCGCTTGGGCCGCCAGGGGAGAGTGGAGGAGTGGCCGTAGAAATCCAAAAGCGTATCTCGCTTCCACCGCTCTTCGAACTCGCATCCATCTTTCGGCTGCTCTTGCTTAGCCTTACTCGGCCCCCACTCAATTCGCTCCAGGGTGTGCTGCCGTGGTGGATGGTCCGGCCGGCCCTTCCACCCTCCC